AAGGAGACGTCAGTCCACAAGGTTGACGTCAGTCCACAAGGAAGGTTACGTCAGTCCACAGGAGGTTGACGTCAGTCCACAAGAAGAGGTTGACGTCAGTCCACAAGGAAGGTTTACGTCAGTCCACAAGGAGAGGTTGACGTCAGTCCACAAGTTGACGTCCAGTCCACAAGAAGAGGTTACGTCAGTCCACAAGGGAGGTTGACGTCAGTCCACAAGGAGAGGTTGACGTCAGTCCACAAGGAGAGTTGACGTCAGTCAAGGAGAGGTGACGTCAGTCCACACGTCAGTCCACAAGAGAGGTTGACGTCAGTCGGAGAGGTTGACGTCAGTCACAAGGAGAGGTTGACGTCAGTCCACAAGGAGAGGTTGACGTCAGTCCACAAGGAAGGTTGACGTCAGTCCACAAGTTGACGTCAGTCCAAAGGAAAGGTTGACGTCAGTCCACAAGGAGAGGTTGAGTCAGTCATCGTCAGTCCACAGGAGAGGTTGACGTCAGTCCACAAGGAGAGGTTGACGTCAGTCCACAAGGAGAGGTTGACGTCAGTCCACAAGGAGAGGTTGACGTCAGTCCACAAGGAGAGGTTGACGTCAGTCCACAAGGGAAGGTTACGTCAGTCCACAAGGAGAGGTTTTCAAGTCCACAAGAAGAGGTCGTCAGTCCACAAGAAGAGGTTTCAGTCCACAAGGAGAGGTTGACGTCAGTCAAGGAGAGGTTGACGTCAGTCACCAGTCCACAGGAGAGGTTGACGTCAGTCCACAAGGAGAGGTTGACGTCAGTCCACAAGGAGAGGTTGACGTCAGTCCACAAGGAGAGGTTTACGTCAGTCCACAAGACGTCAGTCACAAGGAGAGGTTGACGTCAGTCCACAAGGAGAGGTTGACGTCAGTCCACCCGTCAGTCACAAGGAGAGGTTGACGTCAGTCCACAAGGAAGGTTGACGTCAGTCACAAGGAAGAGGTTGACGTCAGTCCACAAGGAGAGGTTGACGTCAGTCCACAAGGAGACGTCAGTCCACAAGGAGAGGTTGACGTCAGTCCACAAGGAGAGGTTGACGTCAGTCCACAAGGAGAGGTTGACGTCAGTCCACAAGGAAAGGTTTACGTCAGTCCACAAGGAGAGGTTGACGTCAGTCCACAAGGAGAGGTTGACGTCAGTCCACAAGGAGAGGTTGACGTCAGTCCACCCCACAAGGAGAGGTTGACGTCAGTCCACAAGTCCACAGGAGAGGTTGACGTCAGTCCAAGGAGGGTTTGACGTCAGTCCACAAGAGAACGTCAGTCCACAAGGAAAGGTTACGTCAGTCCCAAGGAGAGGTCGTCAGTCCACAAGGAGAGGTTGACGTCAGTCCACAAGAAGAGACGTCAGTCCACAAGGAGAGGTTGACGTCAGTCCACAAGGAGAGGTTGACGTCAGTCGTTGTCAGTCCACAAGGAAGGTTGACGTCAGTCCACAAGGAGAGGTTTACGTCAGTCCACAAGGAGAGGTTGACGTCAGTCCACAAGGAGAGGTTTACGTCAGTCCACAAGGAAAGGTTGACGTCAGTCCACAAGGAAAGGTTGACGTCAGTCCACAAGGAAAGGTTGACGTCAGTCCACAAGGAGAGGTTTACGTCAGTCCACAAGGAGAGGTTGACGTCAGTCCACAAGAAGAGGTTGACGTCAGTCCACAAGGAGAGGTTTACGTCAGTCCACAAGGAGAGGTTTACGTCAGTCCACAAGGAAAGGTTTACGTCAGTCCACAAGGAGAGGTTTACGTCAGTCCACAAGGAGAGGTTTACGTCAGTCCACAAGAAGAGGTTGACGTCAGTCCACAAAGGTTGACGTCAGTCCACAAGGAGAGGTTTACGTCAGTCCACAAGGAAAGGTTACGTCAGTCCACAAGGACAGTCCACGTCAGTCCACAAGGGGTTGACGTCAGTCCACAAGGAAAGGTTTACGTCAGTCCACAAGGAGAGGTCAGTCACAAGGAGAGGTTACGTCAGTCCACAAGAAGAGGTTGACGTCAGTCCACAAGGAGAGGTTGACGTCAGTCCACAAGTTGACGTCAGTCCACGGGAGAGGTTTACGTCAGTCAGTCCACAAGGAGAGGTTGACGTCAGTCCACAAGAAGAGGTTGACGTCAGTCCACAAGGAGAGGTTGACGTCAGTCCACAAGGAGAGGTTGTCCACAAGGAGAGGTTGACGTCAGTCCACAAGGAAAGGTTTACGTCAGTTTGACGTCAGTCCACAAGGCGTCATCCACAAGGAGAGGTTGACGTCAGTCCACAAGGAGAGGTTGACGTCAGTCCACAAGGAGAGGTTGACGTCAGTCGTCAGTCCACACAGTTTGACGTCAGTCCACAAGGAGAGGTTGTCAGTCCACGTCAGTTTGACGTCAGTCACAAGGAGAGGTTGTCAGTCCAAAGGACGTCAGTCCACAAGAGAGGTTGACGTCAGTCCACAAGGAGAGGTTGACGTCAGTCCACAAGGAGAGGTTTACGTCAGTCCACAAGGAGAG